CCCCAAAACCCCAAAACCCCTAAAAGATAAATTGCTAGCTAACACTTAATAATGCAAATAAAGCCAAGTATTACTGAATTATAATTTAATAATAATGTCTTTATTCGGAGCTACAGGCGGTGGAATATTAGGCGCTGGAAGTTCTGCTGGTGCTGGAGGAGGAGGACTTTTTGGAGGAAAGGGACCGAATACCCCTTCTCTCTAAAAAACAGTAAGCTCAACAAATCTTCTATAAGATATCACAAGCAAGTCAAATGGAGGAAGTAAATTCTTCCCGGGGCCTGGAACTCTTTCAGGAAATACTGGAGCATCAACCAGTACTTAAAATACAAGTCTGACATCAACAGGAGGCAGTAGCTTATTTGGTGCACCTACAGCCACTACAACATCTACTGGTACAACTGGTCAAACTTCCTTATTTGGGCAATAAGCTGAAAATCAACCTCCAGCTGGTGGTGGTCTTTTTGGCTCAGCAGCAACATAATAATAGCCAGATCTATCAAAACAAACTTCTTTGTTTGGAGGTACCTCTACTCAGTTACCTTCAGCATCTCCATCACTCTTCAATTAGCAATCATAATAGAATCTTTCTCCAATTAAAACTGGAGGACTCTTTGGAGGTGGAGCTGCCACAGGTCAAACAAGTCTGTTTGGTCAGACAGCAACTTCTAATCAGCCTTAAGGATCAAGCATATTCGGAGCAACTCCACAATAAACTGCTCTAGGTGGTTCTATATTTGGAGGAAATTAACCAGCAGCAGGAAGTTCACTCTTTGGAAATCAACAACAATAATAATAATAAACAGGATTATTTGGCTAGCAACCAAGCTAGTAAATGCAGCAGTAATAGTTTGCATAGTAAAATGGGCAACTTGATCCAAACATGATTTCTCAAATGTTCTTTTAAGTAAGAGATCCCAAGGATGCAACAGATATTTTAAGAAGAGTAATGGCCTTAAGGCCAATTAATCAGCCAAAGATAGACTTAGCTTCCACTAACCCTTACAAGTCAAGAATGGTAAAGGACTTAGGACCAAATGAAAAACAAGTAGCTTTAGAAATTTAATAAAGATTGGACAAGTAGAAGGAAATCAAAGGAAACATTCCCTAGCAAATGAGCACTATTAAGACTTAAATTGATCTTTTGAGATCAAATATGACAATAGGGGTCACTGATATCTAAATTCATTACAAAAGAGCTTTGCTTACCAAAGTTTAGATATAAAATCTTTAAAACGAGGTCATGAAGATAGCAAAGCACAGAGAACAATTGTTAAAAGGCATTACTTAATATGACAATCAAGATTACAGAGAGAATATTAAGGCTCCTTTCAAATTTTTCCAAAACCTTCACTAGGAGCACACTAAAATCCTAGAATAGTTAAACTTCAAATTAGATGAAGCTACTGGGGTAGTAGACTATATCAGCAAAAATAAGACTTAGAATGATATAGAGTCTTAGTAGACTTCAACTAAGTAAAAGGTTTTCGAAGTATTAAAGCTAATTTATCAGTAGTAAAAAGATATCGGTCAACAATTATTCAAGATTGATTAGTGTGTGAAGATTCTCAGAACAGAATTTACAAACTAAATGATAAAAAACGGTATTAACTTTGTAACTCGTGAAGATGTTGACGCTATCTTTAAAAAGTATGGCAATTTTGAACTAGATAGAGCTATCAAAGAAATTGAGTAGAAGGCCACATCCAAATAATTATCGAGTCAATTTGATAGCTTACTTAATCTAAAGAAAGATGCTGCTGGCAAAGATTAAGCAGTTAAATAGAGTAACAGATTAAGTGCTATTGTATTTAGACAAGGAGAGGAATTCTCATCTATCATTAGACAAGCTCCATCTTAACTTGAGTCAGTTCAAGGACTTGTTGGTTAGAAGAGATAATCAGCCTAGCCAATTAGCTCTAGTTATATTGATGAAGGCATTAATCCTCTTGGCCCACTTTAGTATATCAAGAAAGATGATTAGGAGGACTTTTAATACTTCAAATCATCATCATTATTCAGGACTAAATCTCAGCTTAATTCTGTGAAAGGAAAATAGTATTTTGTAGTGAACTAGCCAGAGAGATTCAGACCATCATAGACAAAGAGATAAATTAAAGCTCTTGCTCATCTGAACTAGAGATATGGCGGAGAAGCAGCTTCTTATTAACCATACTAGCAACCCAGCAAAAGAAGATCAACTTTTCAATCGATTAGCACCATGGATAGCTAATATGCATATGGGCCATATAGAGGAGATTCAATGAACAAATCCTCAAGAACAATGATTAATCCAATTTGAAGGAATTTAAAAGAGAGGGTAGCTATAGAGTGATTTAAAATAATTAAAATTAATTTAAAGAATATTTTAACTTAAATCAATTTTATTAATAATCTGACATTCAAAGATGAGAATCATATATCATAGTAAAATGAGGGAGGATCTAGTTTGGAAGCGGGTAAGAGGTTTAGAGTTCATCATACTTTGTTACTTTATTGGTTTCATCAACGCTATAATGATTCACTTGCTTATTAACTATTTGATTAATTGCATTGTGTGTAATATCAAAGGATATAAAAAGGTACTCCTTGGTATTGATCTGCTGCTGATGAGAGCGGATTGCTATGTAGTGACCTGGGCTATAACTTCGAAAATTTCAAGCAAAAAAACTATCATAGATTAGATTATAAAGAATGGCGGCTCAATAAAAGAGTTAAAGTGTATTTATTAAGAATTTATGGGAAACGTTTTTCTTAAAGAACTGAGAGGTTCAATGCTTAGCTAAGCATTAGATAATTGTATAATTAAAGTCCAAGATTAATTTAATTCAGAAGATGAACTCTCTGATTTCATCAGTAAAATTGGTTAGCAGCCATTACCATTAGATAGCCTTTAGTTTAGAATGTATTTGATTCAAAACTTCAAGAATGAAGATTCAGTGGTAGTATTCAAGGTTAATCATAGTATGGCAGATGGTGTCGGAATACTACTTATGGCTGCTGCTCTATAGGATGACTTCAATTAAAATTAGCTTCCATTTATGAGATATTAAAGTAGAAAAGAGATTATACTAAAGCATTTATGGTTAGTTTTAATGCCGATTTATGCTATTAAAGATGCAGTCACGAGCTTTATACCATGGAATAATGTAAATTTGTAATTCAATAATATTGATGAAACTCCCTAAGATATATAAATTGCTATATCAGAGGATATATTAGTAAGTGATTTAAAGTAAGTTTCCAAGAGATTAGGATGCACAATTAATGATTTAATGCTTGGAGTTTATAGTGTATCCCTGAAACAATATTTAAATGAAATGGGGTAAATGAATGGAGATAGAACTGTTGTCAATATAGTAGTGAATTAAAAGTAAAAACCTTTGTCAAAGCAAGAATTCTTGTATGGAAATTATTTGCATCAAGAAAAACTTATAATGCCTTTATCCTTAGATTTTGATGTTAATTTGGCAAACATTAGAAGATAAATGGATAAGTGTAAAAATTCTTATTATCATCTGGCAGGATATTATTTTGCCAAGGTTTTAATGCTATTTTTACCTAAGGATGGGCTCGAAGTTACTAAAAAATCTGTGATTTCAAAGTAGCTGAGACTTAACTTTTCAAATATTCCTGGTAGTCAAGTTTCATTGCAAATTGGGGATGGGAAAACTAAAAGTATGCTCTTTACTTCTTTCATTATTAACTCCTCATCAATGGTAGTTTCCATTCTTTCTCATTGTAATGTATTTAAATTTTCCATCGCAGTTTCTTAGATGGATGTGATTCCCAAGGATCTTATGCAAATAATGATGGAAAATTTAACAAGCATGTTATTAAAATGAAGAACTCATTTAAAATGAATGCTAATATCAGTTTAAGAAATGATTGAATACTTTTACAATCGATTATTTATTATTGCATGCAATTTTTAAAAATATATTAATTTCATAAACTTACAATAAAGACATGTATTTAATAGTTTGGGGTTTTGGGGTTTTGGGGTTTTGGGG